AAAACCAACAACCTATGACAACAAAGTGCATTTGTATCTATATCTGCAACATTAATTTTCTTGTACTTGCATTGTAAGAAGTTTATTTCCGCTGTCAGAACACAAACAACAATGGCTAAACAAGAGAATTTTTTCAAATGGAATTTTTCAATTTTTAATTAAAATTGAAATAATTAATTTTATAATTATTTTTTTTTCTATTTACTTATTTTTCTGATTCATTGTACTTGTCGTAAGCAGCGTTTGTTTTGTTTTACGATATCGTCGGATTGCCGAGCAGACCACCGGATTGTCTGGCAGCCAATGACTAAGAGAAATGACAGCCATAACGAGTTAAAAATGCGTTAATTTGTTGAAAGTGGGTCACTGCTTTGGTTGATCAGGCACAATAACAACAATAAATACAAAAGCCATCATAGCAGCCAGATAAAAACAATCTAAATACTTATACCTCATACACACAACACCTAGAAGAATATAAGTATGTGACCATATATATCCGAATAGATATAAACTCGGTTTTTAAACCATTCTTGTTTCGCTGTACATTCACGAAAAATTTGAAATCATGACGAACTCAGTGCAAATGTCTGCGTGAACGTAAGTCACGTTTTAGATACTTTTGACTTAAATAACTTAACACTCGTATTTCGTTGTTTCTATTTTGTTTCTTGTCATTCGTAAGTGAAAGTCTTTACAGTGTACATTTTTCATATTAGAGAGCAAATTCCTAAGTGCCTACGTACTTATGCACATTGATATAATTAATGGGGCTTCACACAGTGCAAAAAAAGAGACATAAACAAATTCTTGAGACACATTCATATACATACATATATAATTTATTTAAGAACAATTCGAACAACAAAAAATTGGCACAAATATAGTATAAAACAGAAATTGTTTAAAGTAAATACGTGCTTATTTATCAAATATATAAATATTTTTTTTATTAATTTTTATTTTTATAAGGTTATTGAAATTTTTGTTGAGAAATATCAATTCTTCTGGAAAACCATTTAAATTGTATGCAACCAATCACTACCAATCCATCATATTATATAAATCCATCAGCACCTTGATATAACAGTATATGATTCAACATCTTACATCTTTAATTCAATCTAAAACAAGATTTAAACAAGTACTTCAATATCAATAAAAATAATATTGAAGAGTTTGACAATATATCAGTCAAAAGCAATTATTGTCAATTATTCACGATCAGTTAATAAAACATGTATTCTTCTCATATGTAAGAAGGCGTTCCTTAAATAATATTTAATATAAATAATATTTATAATACAAATAATAATAATATTTAATTTAATAAACAACATCACAATAAACTAACTATAACAGACAATAATACCATATATATAATGACTCTTCTACAATTAATGTATGTTGAATAACTAATCCATTGATATATGTATGAACCACATTACCTTGAAATCTTTAATTCAATACATTATTGTCGTTTTTTTAAATATATGGTAGTCGTATGTGACATGAGTTGAAAAACTATTGATAAACATTTTTAAACCAATTCATAAAAGTAGGTTTCGGAAACCCACTTAAGAAGTTTTAATAACTGTCGCAATCGCGATAGCCTTTGGGTGTGTGAATATGCGAAATGAGAATCAATTCGGTATCTCAATTTCTTTTACTCAGGAAAAAGCTCAAATAATAATATGGATCTATGATTTTTATTTTATTTATGTATAAATATATCTATAATATCTTAGTATTATAAATATAGAGAATCACTATATGCTTCATTTAATTGATACTCTTTATTTGGGTTAATATTAAAAATGGAATCACGTTCTTCACTTTTTTACTTAAATACCTGATACTTTATATATTCTCCGATATGATAATATATAATGTTATCCACCATTTTTGACAGAAAAATAGCTTTTAAATATAAATTGTGTATATATTTAGATCTTATTGTTTTAATTGCTATAGCTTTTATTATTTACTTTTGAGAAGAGATATATAAAAGTAGAATTTAGTTATGTGACTTTTGTTTAACTTGCTTTTAAGTCTTCTTTTCTGTAAAGACTATATTTTTAGATATACTTTCAAAGTATGTTTGTTGTTCGAAATATGAAAATAAAAACTACAAACAACTCAGTACAATGCCAATATTGCTTACTCATGTATTAGATATAGTTCTAATGTCCCGTAGTTAAATGTGTGAGTGGCCACAATCTTGACTAAAAAAGGAAGGGTTCTTTTTAATACCAAGTTTAAATTATAAAACACTTAATTCTAAAAATTATTACCATACATAATTTATTTATTGGAGAATATTTTCCATTCTCCATATTTTATCATGGAGAATAATATAATATTGTATCAATTAGGACAGTATCCAGGGGGATTAGATTCGAAATTTCTATCTCTCTATGACAATATAATCTACAGATAATATGCGACATCCCTTTGGACAATACTGACTATGCCAAAATTTCCCACAATAGTATAGAGGGAGAATATAAGAGAGAATATAAGACTATTCTTTGTTAGCATCATTAGTTCTTATTTATTAAAGAGAATTAAAGCCTTTTTAGCATTAAATGTCGTAATAATTTTCCAAAAATTTTAAATTGATTCATACCTGAGACGTTTTCTCATAGTGCTTACGACAAGACAAATATACTGTAATATTATATTTAGAATATAAAGAATCGATTATTGATAATATCTTCAAATAATATCTTATTATTAAGCTACATTAGAGTAGTTATTTACTTAAAGTACTTGTTTAGTTTTTGAGTCGTAGCTGGGTTTTGGAGTAGCTGGGTTGAAACGATATAGTCCATACCTTACAACCAGTTAGTGGGAGATTAATCTTGGATTTACAGAATATCTGAAACATTTTAAAAAAACGTTGCGTATCTACTGTTATATTTAATAGTTCTGTAGTTTACATCATTTATCAATGAGACTCTTTCATTGAAAGTACCTTAATGTTAAGATATTCCAAACGATTTAAGATGTGCTACCATTATCTGAGCATATTTAAGTCTATGAATAAATTCTTCTATATTCTAGTCTTCTATATTTTTTGATGTTTAATTGTAGTCTAATTATTATTATATAATCTATTATTATAGCCTAATTTTAATGCCGTGACATACAGACATGCTCGTTCATCCCACAAATACAATATGCATACATATTATTTTGGAATGAATCAACAAACTCTTACTTAATTTCCCATTAAACTTGTTAATAAGTCTTTTATAATCATAAAAATCATTTTAATATAAAACGACATGTCGAGTCACAGATTTGTTTGTTATGCAATTCTAGAGACATATTTAATGGTCACTTTTCATCGGCTGCTTTAAACTTTTCTACATATTTCTTAGCACTGAATGCCGTATAATTCTCAAGAGTGCAAATATTTATGCACTCATGTATGAAAGAGTTTTTGTGATCCGCATAATATGATTAAAAAAGTTAATGGAATTCTTAAAATTGATACATCACAACCTCTGGAAATGTGCATGCTGCATGCTGCATACTGAATACTGAATACATAAGTTAAAGTTAACTCTGTTCATTGTACAAAATCGTCACGGAATTATGTAAAAGGTCAACATACATTGCCATACAAAGGATACCTATTGTGATCATATGAGTATGCTGTGCCTGTGTAGAATTTCCATTTCCATTACCATAAGACATAGCTTAACAGTAGCACTAAACTAATGCAGTTAATGTTGCTATCATTAGTGATGAAGTCAATTAGATAAGTACCAACAACAAAAATGTAATAAAACCAACTGAAGATCTAGTGAAGATCTTTATATGCAATTTCATACTTATTCTTCACTGAGTTGTGGACTATTCTACCGAGAATAACTCAGAAGAAAATCAAAATAAAAACTGTAGAAAAAAACAAAAACAAAAACAAAATAGACAACCCTAGCTTGTTGCAAGTGAAGCGGTGTCTTTTATCTCACCGAGTGATGAAATACGCTACGAACTTGATATGTGGTGGCTTTATTCAAGCCGACCAATTGTCCATATATGCAGGAATGTGTAACGCATAGAAAAATTAATTTAACCCTAAGCATTCTCAACACTAAAAATTGATACAAAATGTTTCTTTTTACTTTACTTTTTCACAGTTTATTTTAATATTAAATTTCACTGTAGGAAAAACAAATAAAAACTGCAATTATCATTTCAGTTCGGTGAGAGGCTCGAGATTCCTCAATAGTTAACCATTGTGTTTATGCGGCCGAAGGAATTATTTGTTATTTATACTTGAGCCCAGTGTCGCCTCTTCTTACGAATTTTATTTGAATTAAACTTTTGATCGACTTGTGGGGCTTCTTTTTTATTTCCACTGAATTTAATGACTCACAGAAGAACAAAGTTTACCGGAAACATGCACGAATTCCTTGAGCCTTTGTCTTTTTGATTTTTTGCAATCTTAACCTGAACTAATATTGGTTGGTTACCTTTGCAACGCCGTCATCAGGCCGATGATTTACGTTTGTAGCGGCTTCGAACATTAAAATTTATGTATCCACGCATAACTGAGCGTTAAATAACAGCTCCCAAATAGTTTGCAACTGGGAGATCTGGTGAATTGGTTTGGGTAGTGGTAGTGGTAGTGGTAGTGGTAGCGGTAGCGGTAGAGTTGTTGATGATATTTCGAATAGAGTCCTCTAGGAGGCTTAATCAGCGGAGCGCAGCAAGCCAAACAGTCCAAATAGCCGCGAGTCTGCAAATTAATTCACTGCATTTCAATTTGAGGCACAGTTCTTTTTTATTTAAGCTTCCTATTTTTTAACAACTTATCGTAGCGGATCAGAGGTCACAGAACGATGAGTACATTTGCAAATAATAGGCGTGACAAGCGTAGTACGTTACGGTTCGTTGATCAATGTAATCAGCGCGAGAAGAATTAAGCGGAATCGCTGCTGTGCAAAAGACAATTACGGACAAAAAATTTTCTTAAATATTTAAATTTAGTGAGTTTGTACAAATTCATTTTTAACGACACTGTCAGTTTGGTTTTTGGCGTCGCTTAAACCAAATTGTACTAAAATAAACATATAAGATATAATTGCTGATAATATAACCAAAATGAACTCATTCTGCAGTTGAAAAAACCCTAAAATTTTAATTTCCAAATTTTCGGTTTTGCGTTGATTTATAAACGTCTCAACCTGTGGAAAAATAAACAAAAATCAAATTATAGAAATTACTTTGTTTTTGTTTGTTTTTAAAAAGAACTGAAATCACTGTCTCTCATATAACCACTGAATGCTTGAGACCCTCAATATTCATTCATAAACAAAAACCCGTGGGAGTTCATTAAATTAAAGTGAATGTAATTATTTTTATCGTCAAATTATTTTAATTGGAATTGCATATCGCTAATAAATCCAAAGTAATTGAGTACCACCTTACCTAGTCACAATAAATTGAACTTCACCCTGAATCTACTTTCGATTTCTGGTGATAACTTTGAATTACGTAGATTGTTTACTTAACAAATTAAAATTGTAGACAAGGTTTTTATGTGATAAGCAGTAAAGAACTGAGTATGTAGGGAGCTCGGGTGAAACATTTTATTGACACTCCTTTTATATTAATAATAAATTTTCTAATTAACAAAAACTGTTTAAATTTATATAAATTTATATAAAATTTGTTTTTTTTCAGTCCCATATTATTAAAATTATATAGAAAGAACTTAGATAAATATCTAAATATCATATTTATAAAAATAGCAATTATTTTCATAATTCACAAAATCGAATTCGGGGAATCTTCAAGACGTGGGACTCGGAGCGCATCATTAATTCTTTTCCTATTAGCACACCTTATGTGACCAATAAGCATTAATGAATAAGCATTCCTAAATGAAATTATATATAACGAAAGTTTCTACTATGGATGCAGATTGTGTTTTAATCTGATATCAAATAAACATGTATTTATAATAATATTTCTTAACTATTTTATTCTATTTGGATCAAAATCCTTTAATCAATATATCTTTTGTACCGTAGTCTATATATAAAATTGTAGTAAGAAGAATTCTGTTGAAATAAACAGATGTTTGAAGTAGTTAAAGAGAAGACACCAAATGGTTTTCATAGGTAAGTTGAAATGTTTTCTGTCTGACAAATGGATGATGTCTTTCAAAAAACTCTATTTCGTTGTTCTAAAGTAACAAACTTCATAAGGTATCTACCATTCTAATAAGTTGGAGCCGATTTTACAATAGAATTTATATAAATGCAATAACAATAATTTCATCTTGTCTTAATAACAATCTCCTATTGCGTTAATAACAATCTTTTATTACTATCCATCCATGGACGATCGATGAAACATTATGCAATTTTTTTTATATTTCGGACACGCCTTTTTGTGTGCTAAGGGGACAGTAATAGTAGAGATAAGAAATCTGAATTATCAGTAGATATTTGGATTTGTCAATTGAAAGCATTAAAAAGGTCATATTACTTTACATTACCTATCAGCAGATCCTTTGATTCCGATTCGAACAAGTGGATGTAAAATCTAGAACACTCGGTTCATATATACCATATATCTCTACTTCAGTCATTCTTTGATCCCTATCATAGTAAAACTTTAGTTTTTAAAACCTAACACCATTTATTAAACAGTGTTTCCGCAGTTAACCAAGTATTGCATCTATATAGCATTAATAAAATGTTTTCTTATACTTTATATTGCACCGAAATCAAATATTAAATTACCAAATTTTTAATTCCGCTTTTTACCAGATTTATTTAATATACGACAACCCAATTAACCAACTTCTTCAGAATTATAATAGAGAATAAAGAATATGTATATGGTCCAGCAGCGTTTAGAGTCTACTTAAACGGGAACGTTTGAATAGATTGTTAAAAAATAAAAAAAATTAAATAAGCAATTGCATTATATTGAATCAGAAGTAGAAACACTTAAATCAAATTTAGTCGGTGAAGATCTCAAATCTCACTTATCAGAATATTAAAAGTTAAAAGTATTTCTCAATGGTATCCACTTATGAAGTGCAAAAAATAAATGATTAAAATTAACATTTCTTATTTTTTATATCTCTTACACTTTTATCCCATCTTTCATCAATATCCGAACACACAATATCCAATGCAAGTAAATTGGGAATTTCAGATTTCTGTACAATGTTGTCCGCACACATAATGAGAAGTGCTAAGTTGGTAAACTTTGTTAAAACCATTGCAAGGTCCATGAAGTTAATGAAATCAGTGCTTAAATACATATATATACAACCATGTAATAATAACAAAATCACCATAAAATTATAATAAATGTAATAAAGAATCTGCCAGTGAAATATACGATTGAAATGATTAGTTATTTCGTAAAGATCGTGATATATAGCACCGCTTATGTCGATGTTATCCGCGCTTTCGCATAGTAGCTTCATGCAATGATAATGACTTATCGAAATTCCAAATTTATCTTTTGTCTCAATATACTTCATTTTATGCAGCATAGTTTTTAGATAGACTCCCATTTCCTCATACATACTGGAAATGACCAAAAATCCCAAAAAACATACATCCAATACGAACATCGAGCTCAACCACATGTAGACGCCAAATGTCGACGTGATGTAGAAAAGTATTTGTAAATAAGGTTCGACATGAATAAGTGATGGTATCTCACCGGTGAAGCCTATAATTGTGGCAGTAAATTTTAGACATAACAGAAAAATAAACTTTTCCCGAAACATATTAACGGAGTGAGTTTTTTCCACTACACGATCGTGTAATCGAAAGAACAGATTTACCAGATTAATTATCTTCTGCTCTCGGCGCATTTGTATTAAAAACGAGAAAGTAGCAAATATTGATACTGAGACAGCTTGAAATGTGAAGAATATGCCTATATAGCCACCATACTCTAAAGCGAAGTGACGTCTATAAACCGCAGGTAGTACGCCAAAAAACGTGATCATTATTATAATACGTACAGTCCATGATAATATTTTTCCACTACGTTTCAAAGGACTAACAATCAAATGTTTCTGATTCAAATTACAATTTAACACATTGACGAACCGAGCATATCGATATAAGAATAATAGAAACGAACGGACAATGCGGTCGATATATGTACGCTTAAACATAACTATTAAAAAGCTGGTGACTTACTAAAATCGAAAACTAATTTCAATAAAATTGTATCTCAACCACGCGAATGTGTAAACCATAAACAAAAGCTGTCACTCATACAAAGTTTGTTTGCTTTAGTAATGAAATTAAGATATTGTTTACGTATATTAACGGTCATTTGTATGTGTTTATTAATAAAAGTTTGAAATATGGAGCACACCACAAGAATTTTAATTTATTAAATGCGGTTGTCATATACTGTATCTATTGGATTCATATAGATATGCATAACTAATGACTGGCAATTGTGACGCCAATGTGCGATATTCAGTGTATGGACAAAAAAAATAAATATTTTCTTTTTCAGTAATTTTATTCTAAGCATTGACTTTGAACTTAAACTTTTTGTTAAATTCATTAATACTGAAATCTAAAAATTTCTTTAATATAAGAAGTTACCTAAGAGTAGAGCTTTAAATTAATTAAAAGTAAAAATATATAGTGCATGTCATTTAATTTCATCCTTTATGCTAACCATGTAATAGCCTATAACTAGAATGTACATAGACAGCAGGTTGAACTGGTTAGCACGCATTGACATCTGGGTCCCTAGCGATATACTAAGAAAGTAATAGTTTATTTTAAATATTACTTTATTTACAATAGGTTGATAGTGTACTCAAGTGTAGTGTTAAATATTGTTAAAAATATTTGTGAATAGTAATTCTATAGATACTGGACCATGAACAAAATATTGTAGATATTTGTATATTCATCCCTAAATTTATCCATGGTCTCAAACTGTCCAGAAACACTATTTCAGTTAATTATTAATGCAATTGTATAAATCAATTGTAAGTTAAATGAAATGAAGGTCCAAAAAGAGAGTACAACTAACAATGTTTAATCGAACTTATAATATTCCATAACGAATTGTTTTTCGTCATGTACTTAATTCATATGACTACTTAATTAGATATAATGCCTCTTTTCGAATTTATGCCTGACCCAGCAAAGGCTTTTCTGCAGCATTTCAACGCCATCTCCAAAAGACGATTTTCTACTAACATATATCTATTGTATTTTATAGACTGCTGCTTCAAACATCGTTTATGCTGAAGCATTGTCTTCTAAAATGTCAAGATCGACACTGAAAACTATCAATGTCCTATAAAGCTTATATGTTGGCGATTCATTTAGGTACCATCTATATACCGAAAGTTTCGTCGGTTGATATAGAACTCTGCATCACAATTGCTTGTTGACCGCATAATAGCACGGATTGACAATTGTGATTCTTCGTTTGATCTTCAGGCTAACATTATTATTGGTTTGCATGCATTAAATTAGTTGGATGTTGCCAAAAAACCACAAGCTAGTGAAGAAAAAAAGTTTCTTTAGAAAACCCTTATTTTTAAAGTAGATAAATATTTGAAATAAAATTTTAGATATGTTAGATAGATTTATATAAATATATTATAAAATTGAATATAGTTCTGAGTTCAGAACTATAGGACAATACTTACGAATACAATACGAGTCTTTATACGAGTAGTCTAAATATAGCTTCGACTTCTTGTAAATTAACCAATGAATTTTCTCTCCAAGGATGGTGACAGAAAAAATGACCGAAAACAAAACAAACTAGAATCGCGTAAAAATGTTTGCTGAAAAGTTTCTGAGATTGAAAATTAGATCTTAACAGAAACAGCTGGAGTAAGCAGATGTACCACACCAAAATGAAGGGCAGACCCTGCAGCAGTAGCAGAGAGTGGACACAGGTCACACTGATGAAAGTATTAAATGACTATTAGAGACCCTACCTCGAAGTAATACTAACGTAGTTCCAGGGTAGGAAAAGG